AACAAACGTTTCGGAGATTCTCTGAAGGTGCAGGGAAATTAGGTTAATAATGCAAATTGGCATAATCAAATATTGGTTGCTGTGCCACCTGATATAACACTCCAAAAAGCTTATAAACATTTGTTTTTAGTAACATTCAGCAAAATAAATTTACCTTAAACATCTTTTAAAAACATCTTTTTGCACAAATATTATATGAACTTTTAATATAGTGTAGTGCGCAATGTTGAAACAGTCTGTGTAAAGTAGACTTAATTTAACGTCTGTGAAGTTAGCACCTCATTTTTTTAAAACTTCAAATTTCTCTTGAGTTCCCATTGCACCCCATTGAGTTCTATAGTTCACTACCATTTTTATTAAAAGTTCCGCAAAAATAGGCAAAAAAAAAACTTAAAAACTTTATTAAAATATCTTTTAGAACTTCGTAAATGTCCTGGAGGGGTAAAAATTTTGAAAAATTCCGGAAGTTCTGATAGGAGTTCTGGGTAGCACCTCACGAGTTCTAACGAAAATGATTAAGGCCCGAAGCCGTAAAATTAATATTTAAGAAACTGTGCGCAATTTCAAGTGTTCACATTGAGATTTCGTAAATGTCCCGGAGGCGTGAAAATTTTGAAAAGTTCCGGGAGTTCTGGCAGGAGTTCTGAATAGCACCTCACGAGTTCTAAAAGACATTTTAATAAAGTTTTTAGATACGTGCATTCGTTTAATAGTTATTACAAATTTTGTGATCTCGTTTTGTGAACTTGGCACCCCAAAAAGTCGATATCGATGTTTTTGCCTATTTTTGCGGAACTTTTAATAAAAATGGTAGAGAACTATAGAACTCAATGGGGTGCAATGGGAACTCAAGAGAAATTTGAAGTTTTAAAAAAATGAGGTGCTAACTTCACAGACGTCTTAATTTATCTTAATTATCCAATTTTCTATTAAAATCTAACAAGCAAATCTAAATTTTACCTCCATCTGCCCCACACATACTTTTAAATACTATTTTTTTTTGTAATTGTACAATGTGATCTCGAAATAGAATAGAAATAGAAAATGTTCTAAAAATAGGTGAAAATACATTTAGAGGTTCTCAAAATGTATCGAACCTTCAAAATCTTGAGGAAGAATGCTTGCATGATTATAATACACCCTTCAAGAACTCCTGTGTGTAAACTTCTAGTATCTAAAACAGATCCATTCTTTCTTCTGTGCATGTTCGCCCATGCACTTTGTTAATGCTGTTGGAACGGATTAAAACTGTAAGCATGGGTTGTATATCCAACCCTGCCGGGAGCAAGCACAATTTACAATACAATTTCAAATTTTAAACAAAATCTATACTTAATTTTTGTCATGCACTAACCATATATATCTAACAATAAATAACTAAAACAGCAACAACTAGATATCTAAAAAAACAACGTAATACATAAAATACATACCTTAAAAACTTATTAAACAAAACACCCTAAACAGGTAAAAGAATCAAGGCCGTTGATATTGTTGATGAAGAACTGGAAAAACTTTAATACAATTGACTTAGAAAAGTGTCACTGAAGCTAATGAACAGAAAGCTATACGATTAATCGCAGCTTATAGCATTAGTTAGTGATGCTTCCATATAGAAGAGTATTAAGTAACGCCGAAAAGCATCATAAAAGACACCCATCCATTTAGGATGCTGTTCTTGGCAGATTGCTGTGTATAATTTCACATACTGATAAAGTTAACTACTAGCAACCTTAAATTGAATGATGGAATAATTATGGGTTGATTTTGTTCACAAATGGCAATAATCTATCCAATGTTAAACTAATGGATTTAAGTATTAAAGATGTTTTTAAATGGAAAGCGAATATTAAGTTGTTTTGTTTGCCTCTCCATAAGAATGAAGGATTTCACATATTGCCTATAGTTTCTAACGTTGGAGTCCTGGAGAAAAAGATGTATCTGATAACGAATATTCTTTGTTATGAACACTACAAATCGCTTTTTGGCAAATCGCCCGAAGTCATTTTCCAGTTTCTAGCCAATACATATGACTTACTTTAAGTCCTAACTGCTTACATTTGGTTGATATTACTTTCTTCCCGTTAGTGTTCTCATGTTTGTTTTCGTGTTGTGAATATGGACATGCTTTCATTAGCTTTGATGAGCCATATTGTTAACCATAATTCTATTGAAGCTTATTTGTATGTTTCTCGAAGCTTATGTTGGATCAACATGGCATGCAAAGATTGTGTAGTCGTTAGCATGTGCTGCAACAGTGGTGGTTCTTACTATCGGTATATGGACATGCTTACTATCGCTTCAGAACCTTGTTGTGTTCAATACCTTGTTTAACCATAAAGTGTCTGTTTATTTCATAAGATGTTAATAATTTGAAGTAAGGATGAGGAGGAATTGATTTAACTTGTAATCCAGCACCTTGTCCAAGGCTTGAGATATATTGAGAAATAAGGCTGCAGAGCTTTCATTTTTTTAATTATAAGTTTATGGTGAGGCTAAGCTATTTGGAATGGCTTGTCTACCAAGTCAGCTATTTTGTTCATTACTAGTACATCTACTAACGAAGGAAAATGAGAAAGCGTCGGCTATTTCTTTATTATTTCTGAAATATTGATTTGATGATTTTTTGAATGTGTTGCTGTGGTTTCTGAGTTTTCTTCTTGCTCACCAGTGCGAGTTTTCCATTGGAGTCATTCATACTTAGGAGTTAGAACTCACTTATTATATACATTTTGCTCCATGAAACTGGTTATACACTCTCATACTATTCGAAATATAGATAATAGAGCACAGAATTAATTATAACAATGGAGAATTTCTGACTACAAAACTTATGAATAATCAAAATGTTTGTACTGTATGTCATTAGGGATTATTAACTGTAAAATTAATAAGAACCAACTATTAATTGTTTAAGTTTTCCATTAACTAAAGATACATATCTTATTAGAAAAGGCAACTATTAACACTAGATTAAGAATTCGCTTCAAAATATTTCTTTATGAAATTGCTATTTTGTTGATGTCAACGGAATTAATGTACTTTTTACTCCGTGTCATTGAGCCGAGTTAAACTGTTGCTATGATTTTAAAAAATGAGATGTCAAAAATAATGACAACCCTTCATTATTATACCATTAATCACAAATTTTATATTTTTAAATTTCATTTTCTTCCAAATTCCTTTTTTTTGTAATTTGTTACAATACGTTTAAGTTTTATTCCCAGTATGCTATAATTAAGTGTATTCTCAATATTTAATCTGTTCTTTGTTGTTTCAATATTTAGATTTTCTAATAAAAAAAATATTTGAACTGCTTAAAATTAAACGTTTTTTTTTGTTGCGTCATTTAGAGAGCTCTATCAATAGATTTTTAAAAGGCATTCCCAGTACCTTGGAAAATTGGCAATGCCATCGAAAAACCAAATGAGACAGAAAGTTGTTGTTCAAACCGTTGCTTTAGGCAGGAATAGTAGATTACTCTATCTTGTCTGTGTACTGGAAACCGAACAGCTTAAAGTTTAAAATAGTTACCCGGTCATACTAACACATCTCTTCAAATACAATTATAACGATCATTATGGAATTTAAAGCAATTAAACGTTTAAAAACTTTTAGAAACGAAAATATGCGAGATCTTTTATTTGCCGAAGAAATATCACCGAGTGATTTTACGTGACTGGAATTGTTACGAAACCGTTGGTGGTCAGATCATCGATGATGGTTTCGAAAAAATAAAATTTTAACTTAGTCATCGAGGTAAAGAGGTTGTACCCAATATAAATTATTTCTATTTAAACGTGACTTTATTGTAAAATACTTTTTTGAGTGTCAAAGCTGTAATAAAATGTTTCGTGAGGTTGAAATTTTCTTTTTCTTATTTATTCCCAAGTCTTCATGTTTTATAGCTTTTTAAAATTTTTTTATCAGAAATCAGAATGAAACGTGAGTCAACTAAATAAATCTTACTAGAGATGTGGGTAAATACTATGAATTATGATAAGATAACCAAGTTAAATTGCGTATAACAGATTTGTTTATATGAATAATGCAAGTTGGTCGGATATTTTGTAAATTACTTTATTTACATTTTTGATAATGTTATTATATTGATTAAAAAAATTGATTACACAACGCTATTAATTACACTTTCACTAAATAACGTAAATCATAATGTGAGGTAAACGTTATTTATACCGTCTTACGTCGACCTGCACATTTTTTTTTATTTTCATAAAGTTGAATTTTATTGGATGTCGTGGCTATCATCGTCAAACGAACATTAGATTCTTTCTTAATGCTTGTCCTTGTAATTTTTCTTTAAAGAAATTAACATTATTTCACATCATCTTATATAAATAGTGGTCCACTCAACTACTTTTCTATTTACAAAATAATAGATGTAGATATTTACGAAATAAAACTTTCATAACTCAACAACCATTCATTCTCAACACGAATAAAAAACATTAAGGATATAGTATGACAATAATAATTTAATGTACCGTTACTTTACGTGTAAACTGTGCGTATATTTTACATAAGTATTAACTTTTAAAATTGTATAGAGAGAGACCACTACTTAAGCAAGTTATTATTTTTGTTGCTGACCTATATGCTACTTGATCGCGTCTAAGTAGAAACACCTACGTAAAAAATGGTGATATGTAAGATTTTGCGTTTGGGACATGCCGTTGTTTAATGCCGATTTAAAAGTACTGGAAATCGACCTCGTACAGTTGTGGGGAAGGAGATCAACAAGTCGCCGCGGTACGAAAAACTGCCGAATGACGTAACGCGTTAAATTAGACAAAAAGGAAATGTGTGCGTAGACTTAAACTGCACGATTTTGCAGCTCGAAATAGAGCTGTTTGTGTCCGGAGGATAACTCAGAGAGGTGCTTATTTTTATTTCAAAGTAAAAATTTATTTTATTTAAACAACCTGTAGTGTTTAATAAATTAAATTCGTTTTTAAATATTTTTTTGTTTTTGTTATTAGAAGAAGCAGTTCCAACGTAAATGGTTCTGTACGTAGAGGTACTACTCCTTCTAATCTTACGATCCAGAACCAAGGAACGCCACCGCGACCAACGTCACTCATGGACTCTCCAACGCAACATTCTGGATCTTCGACAATCGTTCAAGTTATCGTTAATAGGGATGAAAAGGGATACGGGATGAAAGTGTCTGGAGATAATCCGGTTTACGTTCAAAGTGTTAAACCAGGTAAAAATTGTTATTAATACATTTAATTTTAAATCCAAATTTATTTTTTTAAATAGTGTTTGACAAATTTATTATCATAAAATAAAAGAAACATTTCGTATTTAAAGAGATAACTTAGGTACGTCGAAACTGGAATTTATTTACTGGTTCTCAAAATGATCAATTGTTACGCAACCATTCGTGTAATTTTTCAAACATATCGGAATAAATCAATACATATAAATCGTAAGCAAAAATAAGTGGCGTGTTAGATCCGTTACTTGCTTAATATGTACAAAGAAAATATTTATACAAATAACGCTTAAAATGGCGAACGATTTATTTGCTCCAATGTTGCAGCTACAAATTTAAGATTTCTTAACTTTTGAATAGTTTCACCTTATATCGTTTGAATGAAGATTAAACTTGGATTTAATTGCTATTAACTCATTAACACAGGTGTTCACAATAGCAATGAGTAAGCAATTTATGAAATGTAAGGAAGGAAGTCCGGACCACCGAAGGAGAAATTTCTCCGTTAACATTAATGTATTTGTAATTTTAATGTTATGAATGTTTAAGTAAATAGGAGTTTTCAAAACTCTTTAACAGAAGAATAAGAGATGCAAACAGTTTATATAAGTATTAAAAACTGTGCTTGGATCGGTCTCTGAATATTACGCCTGTGTCGACCTGTTTTCTTAGCTTATTTAATTGATGCAACCCCAAGAAGTTAAGTAATTTAAGATCTAATTCAGACTCTAGATGGTTCATATGTTGCTGTTTTTGTGTTTTATACTTTTCCATTGTTGAGTTCCATGCCGCTGTTGTGATTTACTTCAAATCTTCTTTGACAAGTCGCACAAGTAGTTAAATTTAATAATCAACTACCTAAAATGTTACAAACTGAATTAGGTGTTTCTAAAGATCCAGTGTTGAGTCCAATATTTTGTTTAATTTATTGTTTTTTCCTTTGCGCCGGTCTGTCACATTACTAAGTATGCAAATGATATGCAATTAGTTCACAAATTACATGCCAAATTTTATTAATAGTGTATTAGTAGATTTCGTAGTACTTGTCAATGAATCTAAGAAATTGCATTAAAATGAACCTAAATAAGTTAGGCACTAGATTTAATATTGATTGTGTTGGTTCTTTATTAAAACGAGCTTATTCAATTCTTATCTTTTTGAGTATACTACAGTGAAATATCATAATAGGTCTTTTTCCTATTGCATGCCCATTATATAAAATAATTACGTTCCAGTGAGGACTGATACTGGTGAGATGAATAAGCTTACTTTTAACCGATTGAATGAATCTGATTGACCATTTAGTTAATGATCCTTAATTTTATGTATTAACCGGCTTTTAGGACATTCATTACTTTTTTTCTTAACTGAAGAATTTATTAAATTTCTTTCATGTGTTATGTGTGGATATGTGTCAGTAATATTTTTATTATTATATACACTTTCTTAACGTAAAATAAACCTGAATGTTGTTCCCTCAGAAGCTTATTTTAGTAGCATATCTTGAGTAAAGCAAACCAAGCAAAACATTTACGAAATGGATTAAATTAATTAGTTGTGGTGGTAAACAAGGACTTTTTTGTCATTACTAATCACTCATTAAGGTTTATCAAAACTATTGTATACCGCTGAAAAAATGTTATCAGTGCTTCACTTCTTGAATCTTTTGTTTTGCAATAAATTGTACTTCCAGACGATTGAAAACGATTGGATTATAATACCCAAAAAAATTCTATGGGATTTCTTCTAATGATAAATCCATTAGGGAAAGGTATGTTTGTCTAGCTTAGTGTAAAACAGAGTACCTTATTGTCCAAATATCCAGGAAGTTATTGCTTTCGTCTGTAACATTGATTTGTTAATACAAGACGCATCATAGTTGTAGTAATGGATTTCTTCCCAGATTTTTAAAGAACAGGGTGTCTAATAATGGTAATGATGATAACTTATTTTCTGTAAACTCATCAGTTTCATAAGGGTTTTTACCTTCAGTTCCTTAATGTTTCCAGTATATTTATGTCACGGTATTAATATTTTTGCACCTAAGCTGAACAAAGCTTATCACAATATAAATTGCAATCTTGGTGAGTCATTATAATAAGATAAGTTACATTACATTACAACATGCTATTTTTAAGTACATAAATAAACATAACAGTTTAGTTCCATTCCCTCGCTTTCTGTTCATTTAAAATTTGGGATTTTATAAAAAATATGGTGTTATAACGATGTTACAATTATTACAAGTTTACATATGAGTATAAACAAGCTTACGTATAATAAGATCCCAGTACATAGATAACCTCTGAAAATTCTCTATGTAATCCTTGGATCCTTATAAAGGAAAGAGCTTCCACAGTGAAGGACCATTCACATTGTCCTCCAAGCGTAGGCGGTACGTAATATCATCATCTTGCCACGTCAAGTGGCATTCCTGACTTTCATTGTGGAAAGATGAATAACCTTATCTCTAAATCCTTCTTTTTTTAATTCTTGATTTTTCAGTTAGTTAAAAATATATGGATCTAGTGCAATTTTTCTTAAATTCATCGTCGAATACGAATAACTGAATAATAAATACTTGTAATATAATAAATACTATAATGAATACTTGAATAGTTCTTTATGTATGATGAGACACTTAGAGAACTAATAGGCAAAGTCTTTCTAGTCCAACTCTATATTTTGCAATCGCATATAAGAGGTTTATACTTCTGATTCTACAATCGCTGTAATGGTACTTGTTTGTGCTAACTCATTTACTACTTCATTGGCAGGGTTTCAAATTAAGGAGACCCTGCTAAACTCATCAAGTATGTTTAGTGTTTTCGTGATGGCATTAATAAGAGCTGACTCCGGTTTCACAGTGCCTAGAACGGCTCGACTATCTGAGAATAACTTTTGACTTGTTTATTTAGAAGGATATTAGATCCATATGAATTGCAAATCCTTTCAGCAGAAATACTGTGTTTACCCAACCCAGTTCATGTTCAGCTTTTTTAAGTAATTTTCCTAGTAGTAAATCCTTGGGCGATACCAGTTAACCTTTTTGATTACATATCTGTCTGAACCATGAATATTTTGCAATGAATCCAGATCTGTTGTTTAAGGAGCATTTTCTCAAATCAGTAATCCCCTACGAATATGTTCCGCATTCGATTTAACGTGACTGTAAGGTTAAGTATGTTGCTATTAGTGATGGGAATACCGCTCATAACCGTGTCGTGCTCCAGGAACGGTCGCTACACAAAAATACCGTTCCAAAATACCGTGACCTTGAGCAAAAACATAGCTGGTTTCGTAGCAAGTTAGAAAAAATTATGTATTCCGTACCCCGGAATCGGGTATTTTAAAAATCGCGCCAGAATGGTACGTTCCATTAGAATAATGCTCCATATATCGTTCCCCAAATACCGAACTATAACTACAAAAAATATGTAAGTATATTAGTAACGTTCTGTAACGGGTATTTTAAAATCGCGTGGAAGCGGTACGCTCCTCAAAAATACCGTTCCAAAATACCGTTCCTCAAATACCGTCCCATCACTAGTTGCTATATAAAACATCTATAAAGTGACTTGGAGATCACTTAAGGATGGATGCTCGTCACAAGTTGGACCTGATGAATGTGAGATTTTTCAGAGCCAGTAATTTACAACAAAGCTAAATTCATAAAAACAATGTATCACTTCTAAAAAGTGGGTAACTAGCTGTACTACGAAGTCATAGAGAGCTTAGTCCAACTAGACACCTCAGTGTCTAATTGTCATTGAACAAAAATGAGAAGTAACTGGTAGGATGAAGGATTTAAGGCTACGACTGCAACAAAGAATAAGAGTGATTTGAAAACACTATACAAGAAAAGCATTGGAAGAATATCTAGAGACAAGGCAATGTAAAATGAATCTTACAAACCTCATAGGACGTTATGTATAAATATAACGATTAAAACGTATTAGTTCCTTGGTTGTGATACTTTAATGCTTAAGTATAGCATTTCAATAATAGAATCCGAAGACCTAGAAAACCTGCTAGAAGGGAGAAAGGAATAAAGAACGTGAATCCTCCAAATATAAAAAATGTGTCGAGGCAAACCTTATTGAGATCTCCTGTCATATCTGTTGTTTATTATTGTATTGGGGAAGTTTTGTATTTATGTTACATAATCTTTCACATAAATCCGATAATAGGAGTTCATAAATAACATATGTTATTTGAAATTTTATAGGATATTTCTCATTTTAATGGAAGTTTAAGAGTGCCTTTTTCTCTGAGAACTGTTATTGTAATTATTTTTGCAAAACATTGATTTGTAATGATACATACGTTAACACTATTTCAAGTTGAGTTCAGTTTAAATTACGTTTCCGTAAATATTGATATATATTCTGTAATTTAAAATACTGATTTCTTGAAAATTTTTGGTATACCACATATTACCATTGTCATAAACATTTATTCATATAAGTACGGAGGCTTTCACGGCCTAGTAGGACTAAAACTATCACTAGCGCTATCACTTCTTTTGCGTCTTTTGAAAAAGTGTTTAATGTTTCGGATGCCATATTGTATTCTTTAAAAACCTCAACCTTGTTACTGAAGAAGGTTGCAACATGACATCCGAAACGTTAAACACTTATTAATTATTGCAATTTAGCAGATTGTAAATTTTAAAAGATAAAAAAATGTTTAAACTAAAATTAGAACTATCACTAGACCCCGAACTAGAAACTTTTTTGAAAAAGTGTTCTTCAGTAACAAGTTCGAAGTTTCTGAAGAAGATTGCAACATGGCATCCGAAACGTTAAACACTTTTTCAAAAGACACACGACTTAACCCGAAAGCTTCTAGAGATAGTTCTAGTTGTAGTTTAAACATTTTTTCATCTTTTGAAATTTACAATCTGCTAATTTGCAATAATTCATTGTTGAATATTATAGCGTACGTTAACCCACACAATTATAATTTTTAAGAATTGTATGTTCCAACACAATTTATTACAAAAATTCTGTATCTCAAAAATTTGTTTTTAGACATTGCTGACATATTTATAAGTTGTAACTTAAGTAGCTAGATAGCAAAAGTTTACTTTGTAATTTCTGTAATTACTAATTATTTTGGGAAAAAGACCCATTACTTATTATTTAGTGATACATTGGAATTACTTTTTAACGTTATCATTTATACTTTCTTTGAATACAATTATCGGAAAGGATAATTGAGTTATAATTGCAATTTGTATGAAGTTCTTTCATTCATTCCTAAACAAACCATCCAAGAAAGACGTTTTGCGGCGACTCCTCTTTAACCATTTTTTTAAATTTTATTAATTTTGATTAAATAATTGAATTTGTTTAGGTGGAGCGGCGGAGAAGGCTGGCTTGTATGCAGGTGATAAGATTATCGAAGTGAATGGTGAAAATGTAATGTCATCCACCCATACACATGTCGTCGGACTCATTAGATGTAAGCTTAAATAATTTTATTTCTTCACAATTTCTTTAAATATTATATTTAAAGCTGCATCACAAGTTACTCTTACCGTACAACAAAGAAAATCAAACTCTACTAAATCAAGGGTGGATTCCCCAAGCTTACTTACACGTTCTTCAACATCTCCGTCACCTCACCAAATAACAGGACCACAACCCGTCGATGTAAGTAACTTTTTTATGTTAAAATCATAACAATCAAAATGAGTTGTTTTTAATAAAAAAAAATAGCATGAGAAATTAGAACAATTTAAACTTCAAAAAACGAGACAATTACAATTAATGATTGAAAAGGAGAAGCGTTATCTCGAACAATTACGTAGTCAATACGCCTTAACAAGAAGTGATAAAACATTGGAGGATGTAGAGAAAACCGAAAGGAACTTGTTGAAGTTAAACGGAACGTTGATGGGTCATGTTGGGCCGATTGAGGTAAGTCAAATTTATTTTTTGTTTGGTGTCTTTAAATCTTGGCGTGTAGATAGCTGTTTTTTAATTTTTTTGCCGTGATTCGGATATGTTATGTATGTATGTATTATAAATAGGAAATGTTGTTACGTTAATTAGGTGTTATGGTGGCTGAATGGTGACTTGGTCTCCTTTCGTTATTACAGACACAAAATTTATGTTTTTTTTAATTTTTTGTTTTTTAATTTTTATTTTGTGTTTTATTTCTGTATTGAAAATACATACCTACTTTCCTCTCTCTTTATATTATGATTATTATGTTGCTCGTATTGCTCTTTTCTTCCCCTTTTTTACCCCCTTGTTTTTTTATTTTTGTTTGTATAATCGCAGTAGAACATATTGAGACGATGAAATGCCACGACTTTGTTTTTATTTCTGTAGGATGTAATTATTATTCTTAACTTGTGGTTTTTTCTTGATCGCTTGCTTTTTTTTTATTATCATTAGGTTTTGTAGCGTGTTAAAAACGTTGTTTGTAGAGTGTTATAAATAAAGTTTACATTATAACAAATTTATTATCAAAAAAGGACCGCGATAATTCTATATCGGAATAAAAATTCTTCACCAGTGATTTCATACCAGTTCCACACCCGTTGTAACACATAACGTTGCGTGGTTATTGAGTTGTGCCAAGAACTGTTTTTTTTTTGCGAAAGTACTTCGAAGAATTAGAGGTTAAGGTTTGTACTTTTGTACTTATCATAATAAACATCTCATAAATTTTTTAAGTAGAAATAAAAAGTAATGTTTCGAAAAGATATTAGTAAAAGCGGCAGGTTAAAGTTGAAACAACTTTTTTGTTTATAAAAAGATAATTCGATTAAAATTGAAATTGATTTTAAAACATAAACAGAATTTTTTAATTAACAAATTTTGAGTTGATTGTAAAAACGATCGTAAAGGATTTAAAAAGCTAAATTCAAAGATTTAAGTGAGTTATAAAGTTTAAGGTTCAAGATGTTGTTTTTGTTTGAAGCAACTGTAATCATTATGTTATATAAATTAATATCGGTTACAAATGTTCTAAAATAACGTTTAGTTTAATTGTTTCGTATCTAAGAACACACACTTTACAAACTGGAGTTTGATTTTAGAAATTGTCTATATGTGGATTTTTACATGATACAAAAAACTAAAAAAACAAATTTAAATAACAAAAATATAATTATGAGAAGGTAACTTTTTTAACATTTATAGACGATTATTTAGAAAGAATGGGAAGTCCTGGAATTAGAGATATTAGATATCAAAATATAACAGTTTGGTTTAATAAGCCATACATCAATGATATAGGTTCTATAATACAGGATGTTCAAAATTGAATTATTTTTTTTATTTTGAACTTTTAACCATCATAAAGTCACTGTTTTTAACTATTATACAGGGTGGTTCAATTTTTAATCAGGAAACTTTACTGATTAAAAATTTAAACTGCACTTGCTAAAATAACACAAGTTTTCTATATAAACATAGGGTTGCAACTCTTTTGTTTTCGATCTATGAGCAATCAAAGTTGAGCCAAAAATGTACATTTTCATGTAAATTTTCATGTGCAGTTTAGTGTCTCAGATTAAAATATCAGTGCGGAGCTCTGATTTTCATTCAAGCATTGAAGGAAGGGCAATAGACTTAAAAAGAACTGATGATCATCTCCCTTCATTTCTTTTTTCTTGTTTAATATAGTCTTGATCTATCGAGAAAATGCTTCATCAACCTCGGCACAAAACATCTAGATCGGCACTGCTGCCTACGCCCATTGTCTTGGGGATCGTTGAATCTTCTTGCGTGGAAGGAAGCTGTTGGTTTCCTACCATAGAACTTGAAATAATAACATCTCAGGTGAACTCCATTAAAGTTTTAAACTTTCAAAATCACTAGCTTACACTCGATGTCCGTAAATTTTCTCTTCTCTGCCATTATGTTCGCTTTAAAAACACTAACATGGGCTAAGCGTTGAATGAAATTTTCTGTCCTGGAAGGGTGGTGAACTAATATATTACCCAGGGCCTAAGAAGAGTTTATTACTCTAATGATACGTTTCGTGTTGAACAGATTGGATTACCCCTACTGGTGTTTCAGGCTGGTCTTGATGTGGAATATTTTTTCCTATTATGAAAGAACAAAGGGTCATAAAAAATCCTTGTAGCAAGATTATTTACGTCTCTCAATATCTTTTCATATCTTTTCAATTTACACGATTGAGATAGTCACTAATGTCACCGAAGTAGGCAACAATGACTAACTCAGATTGCAAAATGCTTGCCTTTATTATTACTTTTTCACTTGAATATACTCTCCTATGAACAGGATAGTGCACTCTGCCGAAATGGTACCATGACATACAGAGTTTCAAGCACCGTCTTAATTTTTTTGTTTTGTTTAGCTTTTATTAATTGGTTTATATTCACATTTTTTGTGAAACATTGTTTTCCTGAAACTGTTATGCAATGTTGCAATTGCAAGGCTGTTTTGATAAAAGAATGTTGATCATTTTCAGACTCATTCTGTCTTCAACTTTTTTCTAATCTGGCCTAGTGTGATTTATGGAATTCAAACAAATCAAAAGTCAAATTAAAACGAGAATTCAATTCGATACCATAATAATCAATGATTGTTAATCAAGATTGTTGTTTATCAACAATAATTTTTGTAGTTTCAGGAAACATTTAATACTATCCACATCTGTAAAGTTGACTACGTTGAGTACGTTCCTCGCCTGCGATAGACAACTTTCCAGACTTTGATGTAAATAACTATTTTCTTATTGGAGTCATGTCCGTTATGGTATATTATTATTATCTCTCCCTGAGTTTAACGGCGTTGACCACTCTTCTCTACTTCACTCCAATCACCCTATCTTACATACTTGATATCAAGGTTTTGGTCATAAAGTTTTTAAATCGAAAGAATGATATCTTCTATTTGTGTTAATATGCGTTGTTTTGATGGTGCCTACATAATGAAACAGCTTCCCAATAAATAGATTCTAACTCTCCAGATAACCATGGTTTTCATAGATTTTGAATATAAAAGCAAGTAGTAAATAATACTATAGATTTTCGTCTGCTATTTGACTTTCTTTGCTATATGGTCTTAGTGTTTTGTCTTATTTATGATGTTATCTTTGCTATCGACATCTCCACATATCAAATATTTCAGATTATCTTTCGTTATAATATCTCGACATTGATGTAGTATTTCATGCACCACCACACAACAGCTTCCTCCGTTACATACCGTGTTCTTCTATACTTCTTTCCGTTTTCCACCTTAATTTCCCTCCAAAATATTAAAATACTGTCAAAATATTGTAATACTTTTTATCATTTGATGATCTGTTCTACAATCCGCTATGTATTAAAATCCATGATCACTCATGAAATTGTGTGCATAGAATCAGCTGTAAATACTCAACTTTAATCCACTATTACAACGCATTAACTTGGAATACCGATTTATGGCCGACCATCATCAACCATAATTTGGTATACCAATAATTTCTTTGATGTCCGTTATTGGGATCTCAAAAACTATAAAAGAATGTGAACAAGTTTAAATTTCGACAAAGTTGCTGATTTAAGACAATAACTTTAAGATTAATTTTTCAAAAAACGGCTTATTCCAGTTGCCGTGTACTTTAACATATCGTTGATAACCAAAAAAAGTCTTTCATTTTTTTCTTACAACGCTTATCGTTTGAATAGATCTAAAAATAACAATGGAGAATATTTGCTTATGGGTGGTTTAAGAGTCGTTTTTAAGAATTAAATCAATAAAATGCGCTACTGCGAATTACAGTCGAGATTTATTATTGCACAGGTTGGTTAGAAACACTGTACTTTGGTTTTTATTAAATACGCAAAAGCTTCAAAATGATTCACATTTAAAATGTATAGCTTTAGACACTTTGTAAAACTTTCTTTGCTTATTATTATTATTATTGCTACCCGGCTGAGGGGTGGAGCCCCTCTCATCACCGCGACTTATAAGATCTATAGTTCCTTTAGCCCTCTATAAATTTAGGGTAAATGTAGGTCCTTAATGAACCTTAGTATTGCTTCAAGGTCTTGTTCCTTTATATCGTTAGGTGTCAAAACAGTTTTACAGAAAATTTTGTGTCTTAGGCGGCCTCTGACAACGCAATTACACAGTATATGTTCAGCCGTTTCTGACTCGTTTTCAGTGATAAGGCACTTAAAGCTGCCTTGTATATATAAATGAAGTGGTGTGAGACCGAGTAGGGCTCATTGCAACAAGATCTCATTGCATCCGATATATTAAGATATGCTAACCGCTGAATTAGTGCCAGCTCTTTGCTTAAAATTAATAGTTTTTATTATTTCATATGTAAATTCAGATGATACTAAGAATTAAGAAAAAAGGTAGTTTATGATCAATGGCAATATGTAAAATGATAATATAACTATAAATGACAAATAGAATTTAAGAAGGATACATAATAACCGCATTAAATTTTATGTCAATACTATAAAATCAAACGTTATAAAAAAAAAATTTAAAAATGATTCAACTTTGAACATCCTGTATCTCCTAAATCAGTGGTATAAAATATTGAATTATACGCTATATTTTATAACAACCTTAATTCCTGCAAAAAATTTAATCAGATATTTCAGTACTTTATTGCTTTTAATAAAATTATTAATTTTTAAATATTTGGTATTGTGTAACATATTACTCATTTTTTTGGCTTACATGTTAAACGATAGCCAACTTCAGAGTCTCGTCATATGCGAAAAATGAAATTTCATCATAATATAAACATTAGCCGACGAAAATTAACACAAAATAATTTAATACTTAAAACGTAAAAATTAGTTAACATCATTATAACAGTTCAAATAAATGATTAACAAATTAAGTTTTAATTTTCTGATTGAAGGGCAGCTTTCTAGTACGTGATGTAAATGTAGGTTATCTTTTCTTTATTTTAAAATAATTGTTATCTATCATTTATATTACCTTTTCAACATGCATTTGGACTTAAACCCTCATTCATAGCTAATTTGTTATATCGCAGAGGCAACGGATATTGGTGGGCAAGTTAAATCTGTCCTTTTCACTAAATATAAATCTTATTTCAACCCATCTTTTTTGTGACATTCTGTACTGAACTATAAGAAAATCATAATCGAAGTTTTGATGAAATGACTCTGAAGGTAACTTGGTTGTCGAAAAATATAAAAATGTGACTTTAGGACCAATTTTATAGATTATGTGCTATAAGCTTCTTGAATTTATTTGTATCAGACAACATAATTTGAAAAATATAAAGAGAGAGAGAGAGGGAAAAGAATAAAATTGTTTTGGACTTTAATATTTTTTAATAATTAATTTTGTTGCCAAAACAATTTATATCCTATAAAAAAGAAGAAGATATTGTTTATGCTTTTTCATCAAAATTAACCCAGCTTTTTACTGTTTCTTACAGCAATCACCGCCATCCTTTTCTACCTCACACAATCTCTCTAATGAAATGCGAATACACTCTAACGACTTACTACCGCCAACGGCAAACGTTTTATCGTCAAAAAGTAAAACATTGCCTCCCCCGGACGTTGCGCCTCCCTTACCCAAACGAAACCGTCCCAGTTCCGCTACTTACCGTAAAACATCCACACAATACGCCAACGGATTAATGATTAATACCAGCAACAACAACAACGGCCAACAATTAAATAACAGAACCGTTTCGGGCGTTAATATTAGTAACACCACTAATATTATCGGTGGTGATAGCAATTTTAATCAGAGAAGGGATAGATTTTTCAATAATCAAGACACTCCACCTCCTCTTCCACCGAGAAATCTCCCGCAACCTCGTCCTGCAATGCCAATGTCCTTGGAAAACGATTTGGAGGCCGCTAACTCGATAAGTAAACAAATGTCGTATCCTCTCGTGGCAACATGTGCGACTATTATAAATAGCTATGTAAGTAGTGTGAACAAATATGAGAAAAACCAAAAAAGTAGGTATCGTTCGAATACATATATTTTAGCTATTTTACATTTAGAGACAAATACCTATATTTAAACTACAAAAATACATGCATGGAAAATATTGGAAAACAAATTTTTATTAGAAACAAATTTTCCCTGATTCAATATCAGATAACTGTTTGCCAAAATTATCTCAAACACTACTATTACATTCAATCTTGTAAATCGATTTTCTAAAGAAATTTTACTTGGATATCAAAATAAATTGTATTTGTATCATTGAAAACAAATTTAAAGTAAATAAGGCTTTGAATTATTATGAAAGGAAGGAACTCGTAATGTTTAAAATTTAAAATCTAGTGTAAACACGATGGAGGGCAATGACGTTGTACGGCATCAAAGCAAATATGATTTAAAATGGAAGGATACAGTTTCATGCCGTCATACGGGGCCGTTCATTTATTAACAGATTTGAATTGATAATTTTTGATATTAGATAGATTATGACGCTTTTATGTTTGCTAGATAAAGATGGTTAAAATGGTCGTGGTATTTAAAATTGATACGATATTAAAATCTTAAATTTTAACAAAAAAAAAAATTTAAGTAAAATCATTTTTCACTTGAACAAAAGGCTATAAAAATACATATAAAGAAGTTGACGTATTGCCACGCCGTAACTCCTGCATAACAATAAATTTTTATTGTTTTAAGATAAAGTTACTGTGTTAATAAAAATCTAGAAAACTTTAGTTTTTCTATTTTAAGCGTTTTACAATAAATGTTAAGAGCACATGAATTGACAATTAAAATTCCACCGTTTCTTAAAGAAACTTTCAAAACAACTTATAGTTTAGCTATTTTTGTCTTATCATCTCTCCATTTTAAATCCAGATTTAGATTGGGATAAAAACTAAATCTATGGAAAGAATACTAAAATATAAGAACCAGACGTTTGCAAGAAAAGAAACGTCAAGTACAACATTGCTGTGTAAACTCCAAATTTTATTAAAATTCATATTTCTGCAGAATTCAATTCCTAAGTTGAAATAATAGAAATAATACGGCCCTTGTAACCTTAGTCGCCTATAACATAGACGTTAATTAATCGAATATGGATTACTTTGATTCAATATGGTACAAAAGGTGTTTTTATCTCTATTGTGTTAAAGACGATGATATATTTTGTAGAGAGTTTTATGGGATCATAATATGTTTGGAAGGGTTAATGTAGTAGAGTTTACCATACTTATTAAAACTGTTGATTGCTGCATCCGGTATAGAGTAAGAGGAATTCTTCGTCGAGTCCAGTAGTTAAGTCAAAGTTGAGTTGAGTTCCATTATCTCTCTTAATATTGTTTCATGACGATAAATTTGTATGTCTTGTGAAACTTGATGTTGTAGAGTAAACTAGATGATGTAGAATCGAATAGCAGTGTTCTGGGACTGATAGTTGCTTGATTTTTTGACAAATGCAACAGATTTTCTGATTAGAATAAACAATTTGTAATGATGGATAAATTTTGATGCGCATGATTGTTCTTATAAAAGAATTCCAATCAACCGCAACTTCCTGAATTTGGAACATCTTCTCGTTTAACGTCGTGTCGTTTTTTTTAAATTTTTGCTGTGGTGAAGCGACATAATCAAAACATATATTTTTTAGAGAACATAATGAACATAATAATCACCATATTGTATCCCTAAATAACAAGTTTGAAGTACCAAAGTAGGATTGAATAAGATTGCCGCGCCCACTGTAGAGTCAAAGGAATTCTTCATGGAGCTATTGTTTATAATGATTCACCTGGTAATAATGAATGACGAAAATTATGTATTGTTGGTCTTGTGAATCTTGATGTTTCGCATAGCCGTGTTTTGTGACTGGTGATTTTGATTTTTATATCGCACCCATAACATTTATATCTAATTGTAAGACATGTTAGCTAGACAGCTCCCTCAAAGATCTTCATGTAGAGTGATGAATGAGTTTTCGTTGTAGACCCTCACTGGTATCTTTCTCTACTAGACTCACAAAGACACACTTCAGGTGAAAAGTCAACATATTGACTCCACTTATTTTATCCTGAATTCTACAAAATGTAAAAAAATTTTTAACATATAAATCTGTACTTATTTGTAAACTGCAATAGATGTTTGGTGAAGTGTTTTGCAAGTTTGTATGTTGGTACAGTTATGATAGATTGAAAGGGAAAGACATACTTGTAGCGTTTCTGTTCTTCTGGTGAAATGTCGGTCAAACATTTTTTTTCTACTTTTGCGTTCATCTTGGCCTCGTTATACTTTTGTCTACTGCCTAGACGAATATTTCATTTCGCTCTTATGATCTCATTCATCGCCTCTATTCCACATGTTGGAGTAGTAATTGTTTTTGCAGTTTTTAACGCCATATCATACCATTTCTTTGTCCGATTTGAATACTATGATACAAACCAGCAGCTTAATTAAAGCTTTCAATTCTAGTATTATGAATATACGATAAATTTTTCAATGTTTTTCAAAGCAATATTCTGACGTTGAGTTCTCACATTTTGTTACAGTTGTATTTTTACAGTTTGAAACATATTTTCTTACCACAGAAGAAACTATCAACTTTACGTCGTCCCCTTATTACTATTTCCATTTTCTTCAGCTTCTTATATTGTATCAGGCTCAATCATATATGCTCACTATCAGAAATTATGGTCGAAATCAAATGAGCTAAATAATTTCAAGCAAAATAGTTTAGTCTTCTTTATGTAGCAACAAACACAGCTCACTTATTATTGTTTATAACTTAATATAATTATTAATTATTATTGTTAATTAATTTCCGGTTAAATTAGAGGGTGAAGTTCTTTTATAGTGTGAGTATATTTAAAGCTATTCGTTAATTTGTGTTCTTAACATTTGTTGCAACAAATAAAAAGGAAAAGTTTTTAAACATCTTATTGATGTTAATAATATTGAATTGAAAAATTTTTTATGATCTCCTTTCAAATATAATAGTACGCCTTCTATTAAAAACATTAACCATATTGAATTGATGAATAGATAAAAATTAAATAAAAATTTGTTAAAGTTCCAAGTAAAATTTTTTTTGATCCGACATGTATTTTATCAGTGCAACTAAAAATAAAAACTAAAACTAACAAACAACACTAACTCTACACAGAGCAGTTTTATTAAACACGCTGAAGTAGAGGTGTGGAATTTAGATGTAAATAAATCTTGTTGTTTCTAATTTAATCTTTTCATTGTGCAAACCATTTTTCTATCTACGCTTTCATTTTATTATTATCCTTTATTTTCTTTCAATATTATATTAATTTTTACAAAAAATTCTTGTGTAATTTAAAATTTTAAAAAAGTACATACCCTCTTTATTTTAAATAACGTTAGAAAAAAAGCTTTTGCTAATATCAATCACTTTTTGATGCGTTAATAAAAACAATTTTATTATTTTAATTTAGCAGTATTATTCTTTTTTTCTGGTTATTTCTTTTTGTTTATCATTTTATAAACTTTTCGCAATCTTCAAATATTTTTTGGAAAAAATACGTTAATACTTTCTGAATTCTTCTGGGTTTTTAGCCATTAAATCATTCGCATCATCGAACGAAATCCAGTCCCGATTCTTTGTTAATGATGACTCCCGCTGAAGCTTCCAGACGACTTATTGCTTCCGAAAGCATGTCGGACATCCGACCTGCTGGCTATGGCCAAAATGCAACTCCACCAGGAACTCCTCCACCTCCATATCCAAATGCCAGTCCAGAAGTTGCTAGAAGACAATCACTTAATAAAGATTTAGATATGGATATATCTGAGGTTCGTATTTAAACTTTCAAATGTTACTTTTATCATCAAATTAATCATTTTATATTATTATGTATTAAAGGATTACGTGGATTTATCTTTTGGATCACCTTCCAAAGAAATTAATTTAAGTAGATCAATGATCGGAGCAGGAGATATTCACGCAGCAAGTTCTCAAATAGCCCAGCAACGAATTATAAGTATGGAGGATGATGAAATGTCTGACCAAGAAGTTGTAAGAAAAAAGTCAAAACCTAAAAAAATTCTTCTGCAAAATGTATTTATTTTTTAGAATCAACTGGATGATCATGGCCCATTTAAATCTCTTTCGCGCCTTTGGGATAACACTCCTCACCTTGCAGTATTCATGAACTATGTCCTCTCTAATTCCGATCCGAACAGTTTGTTATTTTATCTCTTGACGGATTTATATAAAGAGGGAAATGCCAAAGATATGCGAAAATGGGCTTATGAAATTCATTCGAGTTTTTTAGTGCCTGGTGCTGTAAGTTATCAATATTGATTATTATAATTCAACTATTAATTAATAAAAAAATTAGCCTCTTCGTCTAGCGAATGTAGAAGAAGGAATCGCCCACGAAATTGATGATGTATTAATGCGAGAATATGATAAAGAAGAAATTTTAAGAAAAATTTTTTGGAAAGCGAGAAATAAGGCTAAGGAAGAATTGACTAAACAATTAAATCATTTCCAACAGAAAAGAACGGCTGGGCTTGGCACTATGTATGGCCCATCTGATGAACAATTATGTAATATGAACCATGAAAAAGCTAGGGAATTGAAAATTTATGATACCTTATTAGTGGATAAGTTGGATCCTTATTTGTAAGTCAATCATCTTCGATTTATTTTAGAGGAATAAATGACTATGAAATGTTTATTTTATAGAGAAGAAATTGACAAAGAAAATTATGATCCAAAGAAATATTATACAGCAGCTGCTTTAGCAACAGTTATAATAAGGATATTTGGTGTTCGAATTGTTGCTCCTTTGGATAGGTTTCCTATGTTTGTTAATAAAGAAAAATCGTTTCGCACAAAGTTTATGAAGTATTTACCTAGAAAGGTATGTTAAAAATTAAATAATGCTTATTTTTCATAATTTATTGATTTCCTTTTTTAGTTAACTGTACAGGGACATCAATTTAACGCACAACAATATTATACTGTGATAGTTTGTAATCATTGTCATCAAATTATTTATGGAATAGGTCCACAGGGTTATCAGTGCTCAGGTACTTTGAATAAATTAATTCATTTGATGAATTAATGTTGATTATAAACTAATCTCATTTAACTTCTTTCTTATTTTAGTTTGTCTTATAAATCTTCACCGGACATGTGTGAAATTATACGACGATTCATGTCCTGGACCTATAACAAAGAAGGATCGAGGGATACAAAAAGTGATGGAAAAGATTGGCCATCGAGGAAATCAAAAAAGGAAATCTGCTCCTCATTCGCATTGTAAGAGCATTCTTTTACAACAAATCTATATTCCGTTTTTAGCTATCAGGTCTCAATTTTATGATTTTGATAGGTAAATGGGTTTTCATCCATATTGGTATATTATATGTGTTTTTTAAAAAATAAACAATGTTTATATATTGGAGTATAAAAATTGTTTATTTTTTAAAAAACATATTTATGATTTTGATTGTTAGTGCATTTGCAAATTGCATAAAAATTATGATTAATGATTATTATTGTTCACTAAAATGCAAAAGGGGTTTCAAAATATATCTTAACCTCCACTTTTTAATATTTATCTGGATATGCTTATCATTTGTATTTGTAGGCGATAACAAATATTAAACAGAAACTTATTAAATGTAATGAAAAATAGAATAGGGGTGAATTGAATTTAGCACTAAGTTTAAAATATTGAAAACTTTGCAAGTTGTATATTATATAGAAATTACAAAGTACTGAAGAGGTTGTCATATTGGGCAAAATATTCATTATAAAAATCTATTCATACTTACATATAAGTTTAAAATGTGATCTATTGCAAATGAGTATTATTGTTGAAGGCGGTTAAGTAGATTGAAAAGAAGGATGAAGAAATGCGCATCAATAAAAATCATACTTTTGCTGTAGATGATACAATTCAATAAAAGCCTGTTAGGTTGTGTTTATTACTCCATGTTGGATCATTTAGTTGAGCAAAAATTAGCGTATTTTTAAGATTCTTTACCATTAAGATGTAATTAATTTCAAACATTTAGTTCATTCACTAAATTTATACAATTTCCATAACTTTACAAAATCAATGGCAAAAGGAAATAGTACTAGGAAAGGTTATGGCGTCAGTTGTTTCGCATTGGACATTCTAGTATTAACTAGAGTGGGTAGAATTAGTTGGGAATATATTGTTCCTAATATTCAAATCTTCTAAGTGAACCTTAAACATTTCAAGAAGTCTACAGTTACAGTGCAAGACATTTAAACTATAATACATTTCCAAGCATTTGATGTGCAATATCAAGTCGCATTAAAACATTTCTTTTGTCTTTTTTGTGACTGACTCTACAATGCGTTAGGTTTTCCTGTATAATGAAGGCCTTTCTCTCTTCCTATTATGTGTTTGTATTGGTTAGTAGTAGTTTGTCTTCGAACTGTTAAACGGTTTAGAATTCCACCTTTCAATAGCTAAAGCGCATCCGTTTCGCTGTACGATATCTAAACAATAAGCAATTAGACAGTAATACAATTTTTTTCCACTGATGGATCTTCTGTACAGAGTAATATTTTGATCACAACAATCTACAAAAGAGTAATAAACAAATATATTATGGGACTGATTGACATTAATTTTTTTCCTCTCTTTTTGTGAGTATCAAAGATTCTGATTCTTACTTTAGGAAATCTGACTCTTGATAAGGCGCTTGCAACTAGCTTGCTTCGTGTACATCAGCAAGTTTCCCTAAACATACACTTTTAAGTTCAAATTGAAAACAACATTATTATTTATATGTGTAAAAAATTTCATTAAGATTGGTTGAGTAGTTTTTGAGATATCATGTCCAGGTGTTGTCAAGAGTTGTAAAAATGTCGTTTTGAGACTGATTCTTTTCAGTTTCTGATCTTTAGACTTAGGTTAGGGTAGTCTGCAATTTAATGATCTTAAAATAAACTTTGTATTACTTCATAAAATGAACTTTCCTGCCGAATAATTCGATGTTGGTCCATTTTGACTTTGCCAACAACAATACGCGCAACAAAAATTCAATAAATTTTGCTAATCTTGTATGCACGGGGCAGAAATGGACAATATCTAATCCTAGAAGAATAACCAAATTGTTGTTCAAACGTTGAATCATTAAGGCGGAAAATTCAACTTGGGTTTAAATTTTTTAAATCAGTAAAGTTGTATTGACACAGTATATCTACAGTTTGGAGAGATATTTTCCTATAAAGAAGAATCGTTCAAAGGAGTGAGGAAAAAGAAAAATTCAAAGAAAATAACATTTTGTCTAAAGCACCCTTACCCTAACTCAGCTTTATGTAGAATTTGTTAATGTTTATAATTGTAAGCTAAACTGTTTTCTGACGTGATTTGAAAATGACCTATAGATATTGTTTGGGGCAATAAATTCGAATTTGAATATATTTCATCACCCGATTTTTATTTTCTCTAATTTACTCCATGTTAAATATAATCATTTAATCTTTTTACTCCTCAAGTTTAAGTAACTTCAGAGAAAAAATTGTTTGTTTCTGACGTGCTGATTACTGTTTTCTACACCTATCTATAATATGTTTGAAACGAATTTCGACAGGTAATTTTTTCTGAATTCAGAATTGTTTACCTTTGTCTTCTATACTTAGCCACTAGGAATTGTAAATTTATTATATTTCTATAGTGTTAACTATACAAAAAGTCTATTTACTTTTCACATTTAACTTTCTATATCTTGTAATTTTCATCGTTTATCTTATACTCTTTATTTCTACTTTTGCTTCTTTTTTATCTTTGAACAAAATTAGAATCGTCGTATATACTTATTACATATTAAATTGGAGATTCCCATACACAAGTACTCATCAGCTTGTTATACATTAAGTATTTATAAATTAGGTAAAGTATACAAAGAAATTTCAGCAGAACATCACAATAAGAACAATGGAATGTAAACATTTAACTTCGAATTTATTAAAATTTATATAAAACTTGATATACAAACCTTTTAAAACAGAGTAGACAGATATGCTAAAAACAGATAGTTACAGATACAATGAAGAATATTTTATTTAGACATTTTGATGTTAAATTCTTATCATCTATTACAAGTGGTTTGATCAAGTAATTAAAAAGGGTTTTGTGATACTTTCATACCATGGTTGTTTATTTTTAGTATCTCAAGGAATCTCTCGAGGTGAATATAGTGTAAAGTTACAATATTACATTATGTTTTTAGTTCTTGACTGCAGTTCATCATACGTTTATCCGCGGTAGTATACACCATTGTTATGTAGGTGATCTTTGGTATTGTTACAGTGTTGAAATACAGTGTTATATTTAAAAAAAAAATTGCCCTAAATAAACGGTCAAATTATTTTATGAAATATACTTTAAATTGTGTTTTTAATATTTTCTGTTTATATGAGTTTATTGTTAACAAGATTTTCATTGTATTTAGGTCTATCTCTTTATTCTCAAATTTAAGTACATTGTTAAATTCTGTGAACTAGAGGACTAAAATTATCAACTTATAGGGGTGATTGGACAAAAGTCGAAAACTTTATCAACCCTTTAGGAACAATATGATTTTCTAAAATGTGTGTATATTTAAAAAAAAAAACGTTTCCTTGAAAACCTAACCTGATAACAAAAAACGGCGTAGAGAAACTGAAATCTAACGTAATAAATCTGTCTTATTCTTTTTTATTTAGTGGATCGAAAACAAGACGAAAAAGAGACTCATAATCCAGAAATTGGTAAGTCATATTACTTTTTTTTTTACATATTAAACCGTTAATCGAAAAGAATCATTAAAGCGTTAAAATTTTTCCTTTCAATTTCTCCTTTTTTTAAAATAATAATTTTTACGAATTTAAAACGTATAATGAAAGTAATATATGTAATAGAAATAGCGTTCCTCTTACGGAACGATAACTATTAATAAGAATCGAAAGTTATAATTCAATATATCTTTGGTGAAAGTGATGGAGGGTGTTGAAAAATAAATAGTTGAGGTGAATGTAATGTGTGGATTACCAGACGGGATAGAAATACATTACATTTATTTCATATTTACTTTCATAAAAAATATTTTACATAATTTTTTCTTTTCTATTTAAGAATATCTAATATTTGAAAATTAAAATATTGCCAGGATACTTCAAAAATTAGAAATAGGATTTGTTTGTTGTTTTAACGTTTCAAATCATCATACTTTGACTATGGCATATCATCATTGGTTATTATTTTATTATCTTTGGCAATACACCTACATTTTCTGACGCCTTTAAATAACATCATTTGATCTTATTTAAAGGATGTAAGAATTTTTTACGTTTAAAATCATATGTTTTATATCTGGATTAGTAAATATAACTGTGCGTCTCTTGAATATAACGTTTACTTTAAGTGTACCGTAGTAAGCAAACATAGGTAATACAAATATGATGTCGAATACTAAATCGATATCAATATTATTTGTTATTTTAGCGCGAACGATAAAATATGTATTAAGCAACTGCAAATGTACCGAGTAAACGGTATTTATGAAATTTTTCATTTATGTTTTGATATTTCACTATAAACAAGAAAATAAAAACTATATTTTTATAAAATATGAAAACTATCTTAACATTCGTTTATGCATTACGTGCGATTTTTCACATGTATAAAATTGGGCGGTGTGGTTTTTATAATTCTTGATTCTGATATTATAATTTTATCTAGTAATAAGGATATCATTATTGGGAATATTTACTATATGCTGGGTGCACTGACAATTTCAATCTTTGTTCATTCAAATAATTCAATAAGTCGTTGGGATACAAAATGAATATTAAAACACCAAGTATGGTGATATTACTGATACCAGCGTAATTGAGATCATAGTGACGAAAACTGGGAATAGAGTTAACAAATAGAGTGGGAATACATATCATATCATGATTCTTAAAAATACAGTCGATATGATTTTTTTAAATCATTTTTTTCTGGGGCTCTTTCGAACTTTAGGGCTGACGATTTAGCACTTAATTTATTTTGCGCTGTCGGATCGGTAGAACATAAACCCAACTCAACCCAATCTGATTCTTGAAAACAATAATAGTTATTAAAGTGTGTTATGTTAAGTACTGTGTTGCACTCCAATACAGTTTTAGTAGCCAAATTAAATGTGCAACAAAGCAAAGAAAACACTTTTAATGTTCAAGATGTTAACCGCAGTACATTTTTAAGATGCCATCTTAAATTCCTGAAATGATATGATGTTTAACAGGAAATTATCTCCGACATTTTTGCTTAAAAAGGAGATGTGTTCTGAATGGATTTGGTTTTATGAGCGAAAATGTTTGTACTGTTTGGTACTTAGAATTTCTGTAAGAAGCTCGTGAGCTATTTTGCTGGTGTTCACAATTTTCTCATTCATCAACGTCTGTAGCTGAGAAGTCAATATTCAACTAGAGAATTTTATCTTTATCAACCACTTTATACGTTAATCAGCTTACTAAATTCTAATTGGAAGACAGAACAAAAAGATATTTCTATGGGCTAATTGTTTCAAATCATCTGTCGATTTACGAAAGAAGATTGTTTATTGAGGTTAATTACATGATAAACTCAGAACAAATCCACGTGAACTCTTCCTTTCTTCATTTATAAACGAAAAGCCATGCAATGGGAGGTTTACACACTGGTTTATTTGAAAATAATAAGTACGGATCTGACAAATGAATCCCAAACATCTAGATATATTAGCAATTTCAGAGAAAACACAGATCGTCCAATTGAAGTAGATATCCCAAAGACATTCACCGTAAACACTGCTTGGTACAACGCAACTATCGTGAAAATATGTAGATAACCTCGTCCAGGCATGTGCTTTACAAGCTTTCGAGATTATAGACCTATTAAATAGTTTACGATATTGAGAAAATCAGCTAAAACAGTGATCCACGTACATGATAACACGTCACAACATTTTTAAGCCTTGTGAAGTACATTGCGGGTGGATTCAAAGGAAAGGAGCAATAAACCGCAATTTGATACAAGATGAACCCAAGACAAATCTCTTCTTATATTGTCGATCTCATTGAGATCTATAAAATGCCACGGAAAATATTTGAAGCTCTACAAAATGAAGATGGCTCGTGGAAGTTACGAAAGAATCACGAATTAGACCAATTGATAGTTGGTGTCAATATTATCAGGTTTATTAAAAGTACCAGACTCTGATATATGAGGCACATGGTACGATTGAGCGGTGAGAGGACAATGAGGAGAGTTGCAGATTGTTGACTAGCGGGTCTAATAGCGAGCGGCAGACCGACAAAAAGATTGTTGGATGCTGTTGAGGAAGTATTGGAGAGAATTTAAGGAGGTCATTAAGCAGACTGAAACCCAAACGCAAATTTACTGTTATAAACACAGGTTTCAGTTACATTGGATTACAACTCGATGCGAGATTGGCAAAATTTGTTATAGTCAAATACAAATAGTGATTCCCATTCTAGAGTTGTTAAGAAGAACGTGGCGCAATCATAATTAATGTTCATCACAGGTATGGACTTCTAAACCAATTGTCGATTGTAATATTATGGTTCGTTCCATGCATTGGATGAGATTTGTTTGTTTTGTTGCTTGCATTTAAATTAAGATAGTCCAATTTATTATCTGAAAGACTTTTAATGATATCACTATACTATATAAACTTTATAGTTTTACAAGGAGTTTTATCTAATTTTACCAACTCTGTATCTTTTTTCTTTCCGACTTTCCCAGAGTGTTCTCGCTATCTGAAACACTCCGTATATTTTATAGCAACTAACCAATCAGCTTCAGCATGTTGTTTTTTTATCATCAAAGCCCAAATAAATACTTATGAAGCAAAATTAGTTCAGAGACATAGCACTCTACAGCTGATTCAAAAAACCGCTGACAGACTTCTAGAGTAGATAATACATGAAAAATTAAGATGAATAGTCTTAATATACATGGGATTGGGTTGGGTTTAGTCAAAGTTTTGTAAGAGACCAATTGATAGATAATTGATCACTTTACACGAAAATACTGCCCGTTTGACAAAATTAGCAGGGGCGTTGAAAATGTTGTTAAAAGAGGGTTTTTTATTGCAGATAATGTTTAATTTTAAAGAAACTTTGACACCTTTATATCTCGTTAAGGTGGCATTTGCAAGCCCATGTATATTAAGACTTTTCATCTAAATTTTTGATGTATTATCTGCCCTAGAAATCTGTCAGCGGTTTTTTGAATCACCCTGTACAAACTGAAAAGCATCTAGAATTTCCGCATTACCCTTGTTATTATAACATAAAAATCAAACAGAGAGTTTCACGAATTATTAGCTGGTTTTTTCCTTTTTTGGAGCAGGTAAATGTTCCATCGGGCTTCTTTTCAAACTTCTTCAGTTACCACTATTGTACTGCTCAGAATCACCAGCACACGTCTCATTATCTCATATTGACAATTCAGTTTGTAATTAATCTATCGCCAAATCAGTACCATTTCTTAAATTAAATTCATGACATATTGTCTGAAAATAGGTTAAATAATTATCTAGGATAAAATTGTACTAAAAAATACTACTACAACTTTGAAATGTTTTGAAATAAGTTGTTGTTCACTACAAGTTTAGTGGACAACTGATCGAAAGCAGTGTTAGTGCAAACTAAAATGTATCAAATAAAATCATGTTGGGGGTTCTACAACATTACTATATGATTTTTGGCTAATATATTCATAACGTTTAAACACGTGTTAACCTCTGCATTTAGCCATGCCTGAAAATACTGTTCATTTCGACTTTACAGCTTTGACATTTCTAACATTTTTGCCATTTTGTTGTTATATTGCTGAAGGAATAGGTTATCGTTTTGAAAATTTTTTGCAACTAGCTAGCAAGATTGCACGTCTAACTTCATCGTTATCTTCATGTTTTAAATTACACATAATCTCTTTATCTTTTTTGCGTCCTTGTATATCTTTCCTCTGTGATCACTGTATAGATTAAAAGGTAATCTTAAAAAATTTTCTATTTTATCAGCATTGATCTTACGTGCAACTTTATTATTGTACAGGTATAATCACTATCTAAATACCAAATTGTGTAAGGGTCGACATTGAGTCACTGGTCAACGTTTAGTTGTCAACAATACTACATCTTGAGTTCAAGTGCTCCACCAGTCTTTGGTGCTGCTTAAGATTATTTCCCCAAATTTGAATCAAACTGCTTTTCACAGGTTTCGTCCCCAAAAAGTTTGATAGATTAGTCACATGGTAGTGCTGCTTTCCATCTTTTCTCAAAGTAATAGAACGTAAGAAAATTAATGTATAGTTTTTATGTTATTATTATTATCTTAAAAGCAAGTTTACAAATTTGATTAATCACGTGATTAATCAAAATTAATTACCCTTGTACAATAATTTTTCTTCCTAATTGTACAATATAATTTTTGGCGTTCCTCTGCCATATGCGTTTGGTTGGGGTTTAGGGGGTTTAGTTAGTTCATCGGCGTTGTCGTAAGCTTTCGGTCGGTTCTTTCGCTTTAAAGACGGTAGGCGGGTTGGGTTGTAGGTATGGGGAGTGAGACGTAGGGTGTCTTTGTCTTGACACGCCATGTCCGACGCGAAAAAGCGAACGAACCATACAGTCTCGCTCGATAAGAAGCGGGATGGAACGAGGTGCGCGATCGTAATGTTCTGCGTCGTGACTCATTGTTGGTCTAAATTCAGTCTGAGCGTGTAAACCGCCGCGACTGGTAACGCCGAAAGAGACCAGGGTCC